AGTGTGTCGCTATGAGTCATAGTCAATTCGACAGCACATAACAATGTAATACTTAATGGTGAACAACTAAATACCCCTGAGATTCAGAACAAGAAAAGGATGTTTCCTGTCACGTCTCTTATTCAATGCCGTCTGGAAGTTCTAGGCAGTGCAATAAGAAACTAAAAGGCACGCAGATTAGGAAGGAAAAAGAAAACGACTGCTATTTGCAGCTGGCAGGATTACGTGCACAGAAAATTCCACTGATTTCACAAAAAAACCTCTGCTGCCTGCTGAGTGCCAAGATCGTAAAGTACAAGGAAACAAACAAAAATTCTACATACTATCACTGAAAACATTGGGACAGTGAAATAAACAAAATACAAAACCATTTGTGATTGCTAAAATAATAAAAGATTTCGGTGTAAATCTAACAAAACACAAGTTTTATACACTGAAAACAGCACAAATAAACGGGGAGACTTCCCAAGTTCATGATTTGTAAGACTCAATGTGATAAAAATGCCAATTTTCTCCAAAACAGACATCCAGGTTTCATGAAACTTCTATCAAAATCTCAGAAATTTTTTCTTTTTATGAAATAAGACTATTGTAAAATGTATATGGCAGGCAAAGGAATTAGAAGAATAGAAACAATTCTGGAAAGAAATATAAATGAGCCAAATCAGCCAACCTGATTTCAAAACTTTAACTGATTGACTATATAGCTACGGCAATCAAGATTGGTACTGGTGAATGAATGAAAACCCAAAATCTCTGTAAATGTTCATTAAAATTAATAAAATTTAATTAAAAAAAGAGATTGGTACTGGTAGCTATTCCACTGCTTGGATTATACCCCCCAAAAAAATGAGAACGGAGGCACAAATGGAGACTTGGACAGCAACATTTATTGTTGTTTTGTTGTTATATGCCATCGAGTTGCTTGTGACTCATAGCAACCCTATGTACAACAGTCCTAAACCCTGCTCTATCCTGTGCCAACCTGTCTCTGACACACCTATGCCCACAACCCCAATCACTGAATCGATCCATCTTATTGAGGGTCGCCTTCTCTTGTGCTCTCCCTCCACTCTCCAAAACATTATGTCCCTCTCCAAGGACCAGTCCCTCCTTGCAACATGCCCAAAGTATGTCAGACGAAGCTTCAGAATCCTTTCCTCCAAGGAGCAGCCCGGCTTCACCCTCTCCAGGACAAACCTGTTTGTTCTCCTAGCAGTCCGTGGTATAGTCAACACAATGTTCCTAACAGCGGTATTCATCATCACCAAGAACACAGAAACAGCCCAAATGTCCACAACCACAATCAAATGGATTAAGAAATTATGGTACATTCACATGATGGAATACTATGCAGGCAGGCAGGAGCAATAATTTTGTAAATTATTACCTAACTTGGGAGGGATTAGAGAGTATTCTGCTGAGTGGACTAATCAGTCCCATAACGACAAATGCTTTATAAGACCATTGTGTACAACACGTAGGAGGATCCAAGGTGGCAGGATGGGAGCAGAGGGGTGAGGATGGTGAGAGAGCGGGGGGTTGGGAATGGTAATCACAGGGTCGCATAATTTGATGGGTAGATGGTGAGGTGGGTAAAGAAAATGGGAAAGATCAGTGTGAAAAACAATATATACTTTGTAAGTATAAAATAAAAGTTTTATTTTAAACAATAATAATAAAAAGATTGGTACTGATAGAAGGACAGACACAGATTAATGGGGCAGAAGAGAGAAGACAAAACCAGTTTCCCATGGAGCAGCTGGCCGGCAGTCCACACACACACAAAATGAATCTCAACTTGTCACATTTTGTAAGAAAATTATCTCAAAATCTACCATGGATTTAAATGGAAAAAGTAAAATTACAAAACTTTTAGAAAGTCATGGTAGACAATTTTTGGTCTCTAAAGTAAGGTCAAGAGTCCCAATGGATTCCATGAACTACAGAGGGAAAACTGGGAAACTGGACCTCATAAAAATGAAAAACGTTTGCTCTTGAAAATACCTTGAAAAAAATTAAAAGATACTGTTGTTATTATGTACAGGCAAGTCGCCTGTGACCCATACAACCCTATATACAACAGCTCTGAAGCCTGCCCTGTTCTGAGCTAGTCTCACTCACTCTGACACACCAAACCCCACTGCCCCAGTTACTGTATCAACCTATGCAGGGTCTTCTCTCCTGCGCTGTCCCTCCACCGTTCTGAGCATGACGTCCATCCTTCTCCAAGGACTGGGCCCTTCTGGCCACGTACACAAAGTATGTGAGACAGAGCTTCAAAATCCTAGCAGCCAAGGATAAACTGGGTTTCACCCTCTCCGAGAGAGACCTCTTTGTTTTCTTGGCTATCCGTGCTATCTATGTTCAAGACTCTTCTCCAGTACCACAGCTCAAAGGCATCAATTGGGAGAAAACATCTGCAAAACCATATATTCTACCAAAGGACTAGTATTAAGAATACTGCGTGTAAAGAACACTATAAACTAAGCCAACAATTATTTTAAAATATAGGCAAAATGCATGCAGATATTTCACTGAAGAAGATACACAGATGGCAAACAAGTAGACAAAAAGATGGTGCTAGGAGAGGCTATTCCTTCAAAAGGGATATTGTGCTTGGAAAGTTGGGGGCTCAGCAGGAGAGGAAGATACACCTCACCCCACCCTCAGCAAGATGGATTGGCACGGTGACTGCAACAATGGGCTTCAGCGTGTCAGAAATGACAAAAATGGGACAGAATAGGTTAGGATTCAGGTCTGTTGTTCATAAGGTCACTATGAGTTATATAAAATGCAATGGCACCTAACAAAAGTCACCGTTACAATGGCACCTTTAAAATGTCATCTAGATCCGTCTAGAAAATACGGCATTTTTAATTTCTCGGTACTTACCTCACACGATAGCTTATTCCAGAGGGTTAGTCACAGCTACAGTTCAGGGGAAGGCAGGCAGAGACGGAGGAGTTGAAGGTACCAGTGGTAGAACAAATGGGCTAAGGGGAAACAGGGCAGTGTGGCCTAAGACAGGACCCGGGACTAGCTTTCACATAGCCAGCACTGACCCGGGAGTGCTACACACGGTCCTACTTCTAGCTCCTTTACTGGACTGCAGGTTGTTGTTATGTGCTATCAAGTCCGAACAGACTCATAGCTGACTCTCTTAACGGGTTTTCTGAGGCTGTAAATCAGGTGGGAGGAAACGGCTCATCTTTCTCCTCTAGAGCAGCTGGTGGTTTCAAACCGCTTGCCTTTGAACTGGTAGTGCAGCTCCTTACCACTAGGCTACCAGGATTTCCTGGACTTCAGGTAGACCATATACTCTCTGTGCCCAAGCTCCTCCTCCTTTAATTGAGGGAGCATTATTTCTCTACCATCAAATAGGAAGAATACAAAAACCCTCACTACTAGACCAAAAGGCAACATCATGATAGACGGAGTAAAGATTGAAATTGTCAATGATTTCATCTTACTGCTTGTTGGAGTCAGGAGATCAAGAGATGTGTCACATTGGGGAAAACTGTTGTCAGGGTCCTTTCCAAACGCAATAATGTCAGTTTGAAGACTAAAGTGAGCCTGACTTGGGTCATGGTCTCTTTTCAATCATTTGCTGTGCGTCTGAGAGCTGGACAATGAATAAGGGTGACAGAGAAAGACTTGATGACTTTGAGCCATGGTGTTGGAGAAGAGTACTGCATATCCCAGGCACTGGCAAAAACCCCCCAGATATGTCTTAGAGAAAATGAAGACAGAGTGCTTCTCAGAGGCAAAGATGGCAAAGTTTCCTGTCACATATTTTGTGTTGTTAGAAGAGGCTATTCCTTGAAGAAGGATATCATGCTTGGAAAGGTGGAGAGTTGGAGAAGGAGAAGAAGACCCTCAACCAGAAGGACTTACACAGTGACTGCAGCCAACGGTATCAAGTGTATCAGATGATGATACAGGACAGAGGTCAGATCTGTTAGGTCATAGGGTCACTATGAATTGTACTTGACTCACTGGCACTTAACAACAAAAACATCCAACAGGATATTCACAAGGATATCCTGCCCAGCAGGGAGAACGTGGAAAGCAAGGGACGAAGACAATGTCTGCAAATCTGGTTCATTTATGAGGTTTTGTTTCAGTCCATTTTATATGAGGAAACGTGCATAATGGACGATAAATCACTTTACAAGAGACTGGAGAAAACAAAAGAAATGAGGGCCTTTCGGGAGTCAACATCTCACTTTACTTTCCCAGTCGTTTCATCTTGAGAGCGCGAAGAGAAAATTCAGAACGGCGAAAGCCTGGGGTCCCCACACACCACTTGAAAGAAACAAACAAACCAACAACTCAAACTTCACAGGCTGCACACCACAAGGGTCTGGGAACTGCCTTTATCACAAGACACTGAGAAATGTGAAGAACATGGAAATAAGCAGTAAAGCACTCTTAAACGTCCTGGATTGCGGCACTAATTTAATTTTGCCTGGCATTTTGGTTACTCACTCAAGTATACCTGACTGCACTTGAATCTAAGATTTTTGATTGCAAGAATGATGATTCATACTCATCTTTAGGCCTCCCATCATCCATAATTTCGCACGGAGTTGGCACTCCGCAAATACCAAATGAACTAATGCACACATGTATCATCGTTCCTGCCAGGTGAAGGGAACACATTCAAAGTTTCTCAAATTAGGGCTGAACTCCTGGTATTTATATAGTCACAGCCCTGTGACTTAGAACAAGCTTCAAGGGGATCTCAATTTCTTATCCTTCAGCTCCTATCATCTTTATGACAAGGGATCACAAACTAAATAATGAGAATGCAAAATGTTTCCTAATCTGAGAAAACAACTTTCTGAAAAACACGTGAGCTCCAGAAGATAACCTGCAAGATGGCATGAAACTTTGTACTATGACTTCCACCAGGTAGGAAGAGCTGCATCTTGTCAGCAATGACCTATTAGATTAAAAAAAAAAGGAAGAGAAAGTTCTTGTTTTCTGATCTTTACTTACCAGTGTCCAGTCTTGACTTGACGTGTTGATATTTCGGGTTTTGTGGTATTCTTCTTGTCAGATACTAAAAAAGAGAAGAAAATTTATAATTATGCAGGTGAATGTAAAGATCAAGGTGGCAAAGTTGGGAGAGAGCTCGATGCTTTAAACATGGAGAGAAGGATAACAATGAAAGCATTTTACTTTTCAAAACCTAGGGGGGAGGGGTGGGCAGGGAGAAAAATGCAACAAGAAATGAAGGGAAATCCAAAGTCTTTGTAAATTTTCATTAAAATTAATAATAATAATAATAAAATGGAAAGAAGGTTAGTATGTCATAGATTTAAAGGTGGGAAAAGTATTAGAAGCTCTTTCAAAGGGAATTCCCTAACCCTCCCAATGCCTCACCTCAGGTGGCTATCTTATTTCTGTCAAAATTCTCTCAGAGTAAGTTTACAGTATTGTGTGATTAAGGGGGGGTGGGGGTGGAATGTATTTCAAAACCATTTACTGAATCAAAAGCTATAATGTCCATCCAATTCAACCTTGCAACCCAGAATTAATCACCTCACTCTGCCTGAAGAAATCAGTTAAGAGAAGAGTCTTTTTAGCATTCAGATAATCGTACTGAGGGCTTCTCCTCCAGTTTATCAAGCTCTCCCGTAAAAAGTCCATTCAAATCCTGGCCTGTTGGATGATCCAGGTGAGGTCTGGATGGGCAGTCTCTCTGGCTGCTACCCTGAATCTGGGGATTCTACTTGTGTATGCCAAGGCTCATGGTGGGCTCGCGAGAAGTCCAGGGAATTACCTCTCTGATTCCAAGCACAAGGTACTCACCTATGTTAAATGCCAGTATGGGTGTGAAAGTTACTAATACAGAAAAAGATAGTACCAAGCATAGCTGACACTTCTGCTCAGGCCTTTTTTCATCTTTAAGTATGAGAGAGGTAATGATGGGAAATGAAATGAAAACTGGCTCCATTGGGCCATAGTGTCTAACCACTATGCTTGTTGACCAAAAGGATAGCAATGCAAATCCACCAGCTGCTCAACAGGAAAAAAAACAGGCAGTCTGTTTCCATAAAGATTACAGACCTGGAAACCCTGAGGGGCATATAATGTCCTGTAACATTCCCATGACAAAGAATCGACTGGAAGACAATAGGTTTGGATATATTGAACGCATTTCATGTTATAAACAGATTCACCCCACATCATCTGTTTTTCACTTCACCTCAGACAAGAAAAGCTATTTCTCACGGCAGGTCAGCAGTGGTCTTCAGATGTATATTTGGAACTACTGAACTATTTTATCCTTAGGAACAGGCTGGAAAGTTCCTTCCTCCATCTATCAGTAAACCCATTGTCCAGAGGAGGAAGCAGTTATCATCCAATTCCAGCTCTCCCAGATGAAGACCCCTAAGTGACAGAAAGTGTAGTCAAAGACTGAAATGGGGGTTGAGAGCGGCCTCCCCAGAGAGAGATATACCAGAACAGCAAAACAAAACAACAACAAAAAAAGCAAGCCCCAGGATGGGAGACATGTGTCTGGTAAATTTAAGTCAAATAAAGTTAATCTCGGATTCCAACCATCCTCAGTTATGGGACTTCCCGCCACTCCACGCTCGTATATGTTATCATTTCTATACCCTTCTTCCTGTTTGGACTTTTGTTTTGTTTTTTTCCCACCGGTTTCCTAGCAAAGCTCCTTTTGAAACATTGCAGGCTGGTCTCTGCTGAATTGATGGAATTTGTCCCCACCTAAGCCAACACTGCTGAGGCGAGAGGGTGGCCCTGGAGACCAGGTGTGGAGAGGCTGCCTGCAGCTGCAGCCCTCCCAGCCCCCACCTCTCCCTCTTGGGCTAATGAAAAATCCATACGCTGCAGGAGAGACCAAAAACCCGGCTGTTTCTTCCCTTGTTCCCATCTCCGTCTCCTTTCTGTGCCCACTTTCCTTGTACCCACCACCATGGAAGACCACGTGTGCCCTGCTGCCTGCGGGACACTACTGAGTTCATGGAAATGCAGGCCTTGTTCATTCCAGCTCTTGTTTGGGAGGGAAACTGCTCTTGACCTACTGACCGACTGGCTTTCTTTCGATTACATAAACAGGATGGAATGGTGGAAAGTGAAAATGCCCAGAAAAGAAGCTGTTTCAAGGAGAACTATTCATTCATTCCACAAAGACGTATTGAACAGCAGACACTCATTGGGCAGACAGGCTGAGTGCCCACTAGGGGCTGGGCACTGGGCAAGGGGCACTGAGATGCACCACCCAGGCTTTGTGCCCAGCCCTCACTGCCCACTGCACGGAAGATGAGGGGTGAATAAAAACTACACTGCAGAGCAAACGAGGAGCAGGAGGCAGGGGGTGCAGGGCAGCTTGTGTTGGGGGCCACTGCACTGGCCCGACTCAAAGCAATCTTCTGCATGAAGGATGGACACACTGTCTAGTCCTGCCCCATTCCTATGATGTGTTGGGGCTCAGACCGCTGCCACCCAATCTACAACGAAATAGTCAGGGGTTGCTTCCCTCGGGGTGACTGGAGGAGAGAGAACCTCCACTCGGTGTCTCCTCCACCTTACTCCTCAACCTGCTGCCGCATACTGTTGCCGTTCCCTGCGTTCTGTGGCAATGCCTACAGCAGCCAAGGTCAACAAAGCGCCCTGTCAAATGCAACAGACACTTCTCAGTCCTTATCTTACATGACTGTTTTGGACTATCTGACACTGCTCTCTATGTTGTGCTGTTGCTGACTGCCTTTGAGTTGAGTGCGACTCATAGTGATGCTATGAACAAAAGGCCTGAAGCCCCTCTACAACCATCAACATTTATCAGAGTTCATAGAGTTTCCAGAGGCAAGTTGTTTAGGAAGTGGATGCCACTCTTGCTTTCAAATCTGTCGTAGAATGTGTCACTGGCTGAGTCGCCTGTGATGCATAACAACCTTATGTACAGCAGCTCTGAACCCTGCCCTGTCCTGAGCCAGTCTCACTAATTCTGACACACCAAACCCCATTGCTCCAGTTACTGAATCAATCCATTTCATCCGGGGTCTCCCTCTCCTGAACTGTCCATCCACCCAACCGAGCCTGATGTCGTTCTCCAAGGACCAATCTCTCCTGGCCACGTGCCCAAGTACATGAGGCAGAGCTTCAAAATCCTACCTTCCAAGGAGACTTGGTTTCACCCTCTCCAAGATAGGCCAGCACCACAACTGTCCCAACTGTTCTCTCTGTTCCCTATAGCCTCATTTTTTCCAAATCCTACTCACTTGGTTTCTGCCTCCCCAAGTTCCATAGGATTCTATCTTCTCTATCTATAGGCTCCCTAAGGGCCAAAAAAGGGCCCGTGTGCTGCAATGATTAAGCTAAATGAAAAGTTAATAGTTCAAACTCATCTAGTGTCTCCAGGAGAGAAAGACCTGGTGATTTTCTGTTGTTGCTGTTATATGCCAACAGCTCAGAAACCTGTCCTGTCCTGAGCCAATCTCACTGTCTGTGACCTACCTGCCCCCCCATTACCCCAGTCACTGTGTCAATCATCTCATCTGGGGTCTTCCTTTCCTGCTCTGTCCTTCCACCCTTCCAAGCCTGATGCCCTTCCCTAGGACTGGTCCCTCCTGGCCACACGTCCAAAGTATGTGAGATGGAGCTTCAAAATCCCTGCCTCCAAGGAACAGCCTGGTTTCACCCTCTCCAGGACTGACTTGTTTGTTCTCTTGGCAGGCCCCGGTATGTTCAATACTCCTCTGCAGCACCACTCTAAGGCATCGGAAAGCCTACTTCTGCGTAGAGATGATATATATTCTTTGCTTTTTGAGTCAATCCGACTCATAGTGACCCTCCACACGGTTTCTGAAGCTGTCAATCTTAATAGAAGGAGATTGCCCATCTTTCCCCCGACAGAGCTTCTGGTAAATTCAAACCAGCAGAGACACCTGACCTTTCGGCTGGCAATGCAATGTGCTATGGACTATACTACCAGGCCATCTGTGATGACTACAGCCCAGAAAACTCAACAAGTCTGTCACATGGGGTCATGATGGGATGGAATCTTTTCTAAGACACTCAACAACAACAACAACAGCAATGGGCTATACACTGGTTTAATTCCACTGACATGCATCTGATTTCCAAATAGTCAACTCTAGTCTTAACTTCTCTGCCCTTCAGACAAACATTCATTTTCTCATCTACCCAATACTTCTGGGGGACAATGCAGGCACTGCTGCTATCTGATGTCCCTGCACAGATGCCAGAAAACAAACACACTAACAAAATAATTACAGATTACGGTCTACTAGGTAAAGATGCATGTTGAACAATGCATCTAATTTCACGCCCTCCCAAAACCTCAGTGAAACGTCAAGAAGATGATTTTGAATGTGTAAAGCCCATAAACAGAGAGTGGGAGGGTTGACAGCAACAGATTTCTGATGGCTAGGAGGAGATCAACACGTGAAAATGCTTGGATGGGCTAAGGAAAGCTGTAGACAAAGCAGGCAAAACAAGAAGCCAAGAACAATTCTTAAAAGGCCCAAGGATGGACAGTCCCAGGTAGCTGTGAAAGTGGGGGCTGTGAGGAGTGAAAGGAGTGGCTGAAATGAGGACGGTGAAGGCTGTCTGAGAAGCAGGAGAACCCCAAACCCTTCTCCCCACTTGCCACGAGACAAATGTCTTTCCTGGCCTTGGCAGAAACCCAGAAAGTGACTCCCTGAGAAGGAAGTCTAGCCTGGGAAGTGCCCAGACATAACAGAAGGCAGGGTATCATTACCTAAAAGAGAAGTAGTAAATGAATGGTGCATAATAATGCTGAGATTAACTCCAAGCCCTACTACTACCTCCAGGCATTCAACTATACGTTCAGTTCTTCACTTCGCAGAGAAAAAGAGTTGAAGGTATTGTAATGAATTGAATGTGTGTCTCCCCTCATCCGCAGTATGTGTCAGCTTGGCTGGGCTTTCAGTAGTTTGGGTAGTCAGCCCACAATGTGACCTGATGTGATCAGCTGATCAGTTGTAATTATGCGGTTATGGAGTAGAACAACACCTTTACTCAGTCACAGCCATGAGTTGATGTAAG